TCCTCCTTCTCCTAAAACTTCCTCTGAAAGACACACGTTTTCAATGGCACAATAACACTGCTATAATGAAAACTCATGTCGAAGGAATAATGAAGCATAGAGTCCTGTACGAAGGCACGGCAACTACAGTAAAACGGACATTAATGACTTGAATGTACCTCGCTAATGCGATTATCTGATACTGGGAGTCCTAATTGAGATTGGCTGACGAGCAGCATTGGACTGCGTAGCATAATTTAGCTTTGGGGGGGGAGCAAAATACTTCTACCTTACGAATACATCTATTCTAATAAACGTCGAGGCAGAGTTCCAGATCTAATTGAACGACAGTTATACATATTCGTTCAATGATCCACTGTTTAAGACCATAGTTTGAAAATATGATTTACGTTGATCGAAACTGTAACCCTGATGAAGTCTTCGGTGCGCGGTCTCGAAATGGGGAATAAGTATATGAATTTATTCTAAACCATTGCCTTATACCGCGGAAACTGAGATACGTGCCAACTCATGAATGTTGAAAATAACATGAAAATCTAATGTTTTGTAGAATTCCTGTTTCAAAGCGGTTTGTGCTCCCGCCCAGTAGTCGCTCGTGGCTGAGAGGTTTCAGCGACATGAATGTTTCATGAAGTGAGGGTACCAAGAAAGAACAAGTTACTGCCTATAAGGAGGAAAGGAGACCAGTTCCTTAAGTATATATGTTAAGAAATTTTCATAAGCTCTAAATTTTAGCTCCCTGAAGTCGAAAAAATTTGTCCCATTAATTTGCAACGTCACAATTTTGTAGCTGCGTCATTTCCGTACGGACGGGGTTTTCGTGAAGTTGCAAAGTTTTGCTTGTATTTTTTCGTTAACTGTTTAAATGCTAAAAGTCTCCTGAACGTAAATGGATTTTTTATGTAGACCTGAAGCTTATGCAATGTTTGTATATCTGTTCTTTTGCCCACGCTTGTATTGAAAAACAGTGCTGTCGATTGTTCATCAGGTTGCAGTGTTCTGAACAAAAGCCAACAAGACACTTTACTGAAGTTTGCTAAGAATGTGTATCAAGCCTCAAGTTGAATTTTTTAGTTGGCCCGCTATAAAGACCTAGTTGTGCTGCGGTTACATCGTGCTCACTGAGGAAGTTCCGCAGTTTTGATCACTGTTTTTCGGTATTCTGTTTCCAGCTAGTCGAAAGTTTGAGTAAACTGTTGGACGTAAAAGTCTCCTGCCAAGCTGGAAGTCTCGGGATCGAAATCCAATGAGGTCGTAGTAATATCAGAATTTTCCCTGGACGAAACCGACTAGTACAGTTTTACGGGCCGATGATCTGCGAGTCGCGGCGCGAAATGATATCGAGATTTCGAAGCTTTGGCCGCGCGCATACGTAGTTTGTCGTAAAATTATGTTGAGCCATTTGCGGCGACAGAACGTTTCAAGTTCGTGGTGTCCGCTTTGCATGTTTATTTGTTTGCTATGCTGTAGAAATTTCATAATTATCAAAAGAATCATTTCTTTTTTAACATGGCCCTTTGTCTTGTTATCCATTTTGGCTGCTGATCTGCTGGATGGCGTCTGTTGTTGTTGGGAGATTAGTGCTATACGGACTACGGAAAATGGTTTGTCTTCAAGCAGTTTGTCGGACAGGTTCAGTGACCTTGCACTGTTCTTGTACTTGATGTACCTGTAACGTGTAGAGAATAAACTTGCCTTTAACAGTCCTGGAATTTAACAAACGTTATGCGTTAAAGCAAACACTGTCACCGATTTGGTATTTCTGTTGGAACAATGATCGCTATCGCTTCATTTCACATGAGTTGTGAACGTTTTCTTTTGTAGACAGGAATATTGATTGACTGGCCCAATTATGAGATTAACATCCAAAACCGTTGGAAGTAGTGGTGATGTTCATACTTAGATTCAGTGACTGGTTGTATCAATGGCGATGATGTCAACGAAATAGTGATTGTCTACCATTTTGACATTTCTGTGGACCTCTTGCAGTAAAACTGCATAGTACTGTTCTCTATGTCAATTTTGGCCTGCATATTCTAGCTTGTGATGGTCAGGAATAAAATCTTTTTGTAGATAAGGCTCAAAGTTCTTAACTGTCTGTGAAATAGTCGAAACTCGCTTTGTTATATGCGGATATTTTGTTTAAAAATGCTGCACTGTCTATGTTCCACGTCAGAATCAAAGAAGTTAACAGTTAGAAAGACTGTAGCCCTGCAAGGTATTTAGTCTGAAAAATTTGAACCTTCAAGACTCGCATCATTTATGCTTTCTTGTCTCCTTGAAATTTGGGTTGAAGTTTTGTTTGTTATTCGTTAGTAAGATTAACTTAAATTTGCATAAAAGGAATTAGTGATAAAGAAGGCAAAATATAAATAGCTTAACTGGCCAAAATGTGGATGACGAATCGACGAGGAACAAGCGGAAAAAGAAGCGAATAATAAAATCAGCAGTAGCTTGTCAGGTAATTTTGATGGCAAAAAATCTTCATGTTATTAATAAGGGAAAGTGCTCACTGCGTTTGTTTTGGAATTCAGTGATCCACGCCCGCCTTGTTTCTATCTTGTTCGAAACGCTAACCGCACAATTGTGATATTTAAAAACTCATTTTATTAACATTTTCAATTTAGTTGATTCCACCTGTGATATGTAATGGAGCCTTACGAGACGCCGCGGTAAGTGAAATCGTATTGTTAGCATTGATTGACGAGTTATGCAAAGATTATCGTCAAAATTCCACTTCGTCTTGTAGATAGCAAATGATTCTATCACGTAAAATGTGTGCATATACCTAGAAGAAATATTTGTTCATTTTATAATTCTATGTACAAGTTCGACATAAACATTGTTTAACTCTCAACTGTACCAAAGTCGGTTGATTGGTAACCAACGCTAGGCAGCAGCTTCATGATTTTAGTTTTTGAAGTATCCCGTGATGTTTTCCTGTAGAAGCGATTCCGCATAAACTGAGGAATTGCATTTATTTCTAATTGCCAACTTTTAAAGTGGGACTGTAAAGATACACAGGCTTGTTCAATCGTTTACTTGAATAGAATTGTGACATGCTTGCACCGGTGACTACAGCAAGTCTAACTCTGATTCTCTTCATTCATTGCAGCAGTAATGGAGGAGGCACGATGGGTACAGATGGAAACAAAGAAAATGGTTTGTTTTTGCTTTTAAGACTTCTTTCACTGATTCCGTTTTTTGTAGATCCCAGTACTCCTACGAAAGAAGCCAGCGCGCCTCACTCTGACTCGAATAGCGGCAAAGCGACTCCTTTTGTGTTGCGATCGATACTAAAAAGGCGAACGTCTTCTGGAAACAAACTGAGCTCAAAGAAGGTATAGTTGCACACGCTATACAGCCATCAGTTATTGTCGCAGCCTTCTAGCATCGTGTTCATTTCGATTTGGAGCAGTCGATATCTCCGGAACTTAACAAAAAGCTCAGCCGCCGATTGTTCATATGCGATGAAGTAGATGATGCAAAGCTTGCTGAGGTTGAGGTAAACCACGAAGTGGAGTTTGATTCGCATTTTTACATGCATCCCACTACCTGCTGCTTTCTCAGCGATGGCGAAGTTTATGAAGTGAATAACTGTTTATTCGACACGGACACGGTTGCGTCTTGAATGTTTTTTTTATGTTTTCTGTAGCAAACAAATTCCTTCGTTATTTTGCACTAGTCATACCCATTCGAGGCAGTTGCATCGCTAAGTAATTTTTGTTTATCAGGCCAGGTGCAATTGATTATTTGAAGCAAATATCTACAAGTGTGCTTTATCTAACCTCCAGCGGACTTAGTTAACAAATTTGCAACCAGAATTTGTTGCCTTGAACCTGTTTGCCTTAAACATTAATCATAAATTTTTAGTTGTTTCTTGACAGAATAAAGATATCTATCTAAAACTACAGTTTTGTAAACTAAATAGTTATAATGCTACAGTTTACACGGCATTAGTTTTAATTTAATTTGCGAGTTATTTCCCTACGCATTTTCGCAATGGCTACAATTCAGAAGCTCAAGAGTCTTTCGATTGCGACCTCTAAATTTTTTATTTCAGAGCCAGACGTAATCTGTAGTCGCTGGATATTTGTGTCACTGACAATGCAGCGTTGTTGATGCATTTGGGGTTGCGCTATTTTTACAGTCATAGTCATGCCTCATCGGCGCCAGAATTTTTAAAGCGAGTTAGCGGATTAACGGAGTTACGAAGAGATGTAAGCCATTTGCAGTGATATGCGCACAACAATTTCTCAGGGCATGATTATCGCAAAACAAGCGAGATCAGCATTTGCTAACTACGTTTAAAATTCAGTAGCGTATGAGTTTTGATTTTCAACCATGTTGATTTCGTACTATGGTCTAGGCATAATCAAGACGACAAAAGGAGGGATTGTGGATGGCTGCTATTGAGAGGATGCTGAGGCCTAACCACAATCAAGGCAAGAT